TAGACTGCCGTCCGCGTGGTCTTGGGTCACATAGCCCTCGGCCACGTCCTCCAGCACACGCGGGCTCACGGTGAGCGGGTCGCCGTAGCCGCTGCCGCCATTGTCCACCGAGCGGACGAACTCGCCCGGCCCGAGCGCCAGCATCACGCCGTTCGGCACCGAATCTTCGGCGCCGTCGGCGCGCAGGTGCCGTGATAGGCGTGGTTGGCGTCGCCGCCGCCGCGCACGCCCCTGGGCGGGTTGATGGTTCCGCCGCCCATGATGCTCACGGTCATCGGGTCGCGACGCGGGCCGAAGATCACCTCGGTCGCGGGCCCGCCGCGCCTGCGCCCGGCGCCGCCCGAATCGGGGAGGAGGCGCTGGGAGCGGACGAGCATGGGGAAGCGCTGCTCGTCGAACTCGATGCTGTCCCGATGCAGCAGCCCGCAGCCGCCCGGCGTCAGCAGGTAGATCATGCCGTCGTGCTCGGGCAGCGCCGGCCCGCCGCCCCCCATCAGATAGACCTGGTTGATGTATTCGGCCCCGCCGCGCGCCAGTCCCTGCCTGAGACCACGCCCATGCCGGCCGAGAAGCAGAGATTGCCCTGGGCCAGCCCGTGGCCGTCGCCGAGCTGGGTGAAGGCCGACTGCACGAGGTTCACCACCACGTCCGCCATGTTGGTGGTCGCCAGCGAACAGGAGTGCGGGAAGCGCGGGATGCCGACGACGCAGCCCTCGCGCAGCTTCACCTCGATACATCGGAAGCTGCCGGCATTGGGCGGGATGTCGGACTCCAGGTTCTCGAACACGCCCTGGATGCAGTTGGCGGTCGCGCAGGCTTCGGTGAGGTTGAGGCCGGCGTCGATGCAATCCGGGTTGTCGCGCAGGTCCACGACGATGCGGCCCGCCGCCGGGTCGATCGCGACCTTGACCGTGATCTCCAGGCTCTCGGGCAGGAAGGGCTGCACCGGGTCGTGCATCCCGCTGTTGACCAGCGTGCCCTCGGGCAGCCTGCGGATGGCGTGGTCGGCGCGGCGCTCGGCATAGTCGAACCAGGCGTCGATGAAGCGGCGCACCCGGCCCACCCCGTGCTTCGCAACGAAGGCCTTGAGCCTGCGCTCGCCGATCCGCGCCGCGCCGAGCTGCGACAGATAGTCGCCGTACCACTGGTCAGGCACCCTGATCCGGCGGCGGCACATGCGCACGATGTCCTCGTTGTCGCGGAAATCCCGCTGCACGAGCACGCAGGGGAAGATCAACGCGCCCTCCTCGTACACGTCGCGGGCGCGCGGCGTGTAGGTGGTCGGGATGCTGTCGCCGCAATCGGCCTGGTGACCCTTGACGGTGACGTTGAAGAGATGCTCGCCCTCGCAGAAGACCGGCACGATGATCGACCAGTCGGCCGCATGGCTGTTGCCGTCGTACGGGTCGTTGTGGAGGAAGGCGTCGCCCTCGCGAAATTCCGGGTGCACCCGGCACATGGTCCTGGTCTGCAGATGGGCGCCGTAGATGTGGGCCGGGATGCCCTCGGCGGCGGCCAGCAGCTCGTTCGAGGCGGTGACGATGGCGCAGGAGAAGTCGCGCGACTGGCCGATCACGGCCGAGCGCGCGGTGCGCATCACCACGCCCGTCATCTCGCGCAGGATCGCGTCGATCCGGTTGGCCATGATCGCGACCTGCACCGGGTCGAGCTCTTCCGCGCCCCCCGTCGCCGCCCGCGCCGCCTCCTCCGCCGGCTCCAGGATGTAGTTGGCGCCGGGCGAGACCCGCGCGCGCGTCGCGGGATAGACCACCACCGTGGTGGTCGGCTCCTCGATGATCGCGGGGCCTGCGATCGAGTCGCCCGCGACGAGCGCCGCGCCCTCGTAGACCGGCGTCTCCAGGAACCCGGCTTCGCCGAAGAACGCGCGCGTGGTGCGGCGCGGGGCGGGCGGGCCGCTGCGCACGGCGCCCTCCGCCGCCGTCGCAGGCTGAGGCCGGTCGAGGAAGGCCGTGAGCCGGCCCTTCCAGTTCAGGCATTCGAGCAGGCCGTTCTCTTCCTTCACGCCGTAGAGCCGCTCGTGCACCTCGTGGAAGTGCGCGATCAGCGCGTCCACGGCGCCGGCGCCATCGAAGCGCGCGGCCGGCATGGCGATCTCGGTCTCCCATTGCTGGTTGAGGTAGCGGGCATCGACGAAGCGGTCCTTGCGGAAGCGCGCGATGCCGCGCGCCCTGAGGCGGTCCGCGAATGCCTCCATCTCTGCGTCGATGTCGGCGAGGGTGTCGTTGACCGATGGCCTCGTCCCAGTGGTCGGTGCGGGCGTAGTGGCTCGCGCTGAACTCGGCAACGATGTCGGAATACTGCGCGCCGCAGGCACTCAGCGCGCCGGCGGTCTTGGGCAGCAGCACGCGGTCGCAGCCCAGCGCCGCAGCAATCGGCAGGATGTTGAGGCCGGCCGCCCCGCCGCCCGCCACGAGCACGCTCTCGCGCGGATTGACCCCCTCGTTGACCGTGATCTCCTCGATGGCCTTGATCATGGTCTCGCTGGCGAGGGTGAGGATCGCCGCGGCGGTCTCCTCCACCGCCTTGCCCAGCGGCTCCGCCAACGCCGCGACGGCACGGCGGGCGGCATCCACGTCGAGCGTCATGCGCCCGCCGAGGAAGGCGTCGGGGTCGATGTAGCCGAGCACCACGGCGGCATCGGTCACGGTTGCCGCATCGCCGCCTCTGGCGTAGCAAGCGGGGCCGGGGTCGGCGCCGGCGCTCTCGGGCCCCACGCGGAGCAGCCCGCCCGGATCGATCCAGGCGATGGAGCCGCCGCCCGCGCCCACGCTTCTGACATCGACCGAGGAGAGGCCGAGGTTGTGGCCGGAGAAGAGCCCGCCCAGCCACGTTTCGCGGGTGTACTTGACCGCGCCGTCGCGCACCATGCTCACGTCGAAGGTGGTGCCGCCGGCATCCACCACCAGCACGTCGCGCCCGAGCCCTTCGGCCTCGGCATAGGCGATGCCGGCGAGCGGGGCCATCGCCGGGCCCGACTTGACCATGAAGATCGGCCGGTCGGCGACGTCCTCGACGTGCATCAGGCCGCCGGAAACCGTGCTGACCAGCAGCTCGCCGGCGAAGCCCGCGGCGCCGAGGTCGTCGCTGAGCGCGCGCAGATGGCGCTGCATGAGGGGCTTCAACGAGGCGTCGATCGCGGCCGAGGACGCGCGCGGGTATTCGCGCAGGATCGGGTTGAGCGGTGCGAGAGCGTGTAGGGCATCCCCGGCATCGCCTCCTCGATCAGGGCGCCCAGCCGCTCCTCGTGCGCCGGGTTCTTGATCGACCAGAGCAGGCAGACGGCGACCGCCTCGACGCCCTGCCGCGCGAGCCGGGCAGCGCCGCGCGCGCCGCGTCCTCGTCGAGCGCCCGCTCCACCTCGCCTTCGGCCGTCACCCGCTCGGGGATCTCGGCCGTGAGCCGGCGCGGCACGTAGGGCTTGAGCGGGTCGATATGGAGCTCGAAGGGGTGCAGCTTGCCGCCCTGGCGATAGACCAGGATGTCCGGAAAACCCTCGGTCACCAGCAGCGCGGTCTTCGCGGTGGTGCCGGTGACGATCGCGTTGGTCGCCCAGGTCGTGCCGTAGATCAGCACGTCCGCGTCCCCGATCAGGTCTTCGACGGAGATGCCCATGGTCCGCGCCGCGTCGGCGAGCCCGGCCTTGACCCCGTCGGCGCTCCGCGCGGGCGTGGACGGCGCCTTGCCGACGGTGAGCGCACCGCCCGGTGCGGCGACGACGACATCGGTAAAGGTGCCGCCGGTGTCGACGGCAATTCGGTAGGGCATGGCGGGGCTCCGTGACGAGAACAAGGCGGCCAGTCTACAAGTTCTGCCGCGTTGTCGCGGCCAACACCTGCCGGGTGGGCGTGAGATTGGCGAGACCGACTTCGTCGCAATGCGACATCGGCTTTAGCCCTCAGGCGGCAATGCACAGACCCGCTCGTAAGCGAAGCGCTCGCCGATCAGGCCGTTATGGGCGTAAATGTCGAGCGTCGCCTCGAAGGCCGCCCCGGTAATCTCGATATGAGGCACCCAGCAACCGAGCTGCTGGTAGGTCGCGATGCAGCGTTCGAGCGCCGGCAGGTCGACCTCCGGGAAGAAGGATTTGCTCGGCGCGGGCGACCTCGGCGGCCGGCGTTTCGTTGAGCCAGAGCCGGGCCTTGCGGTAGGCGCGGGTAAAGGCCCGCGCCATGTGGGTCTCCAGCCAGTCCGGCCGGGCGCACAAGCTGGAAAAGCCGCAGCGGCCGACCTGCCGACCGACCTGCGCTAGGACATGGCCGATGCCATCGGCTTCCAACTGCTGGGGAAATGGTCCCTGTTGCTGGACATACTGACCCGCGCCTTCGCGAAAGGCGCGGTCGATCTCGGAGGCATTGCCCGGATGGATCGCTTTCAGCCGGCCGTAATCGATACCGGCCTTGTGGCAGGCGTACTTGAACATGGCGAGCGGCTGGCCGCCGCCGAACAGCACGACCTCGGCGCCTTCCAGCTTGCGCCAGTCGAAGTCCGGGTCCGGTTCCCGCCCGGTCAGGAAAAAGCCGTCCATCTCGTTGATCTGGGCGAAGTGGACGACGCCGGGATCCTCGCCCTTCGACAGCGGCCCGAAGGCCTGGCTGAGCGCCGACTGCACGACATGGGCCGTGCCGTTCTTCAGGGCCGCGATGGCGGAAACCCCCGGCGACGAGACCGACCAGTCCGCCTCCAGCCCCTCTTCGGCCAGAAAGCCGGCGGCCATGGTCGCGATCAACGGCGAATAGAAGGCCGAGAACAGGGAGAACTGGATATCGATCCGGGTCATGAGCGGCGCTCCTTCGGCAGGATTGCGGCCGGCGCGCCTCTGCCAGCCCGCAATGACCGCCCCGTCTATCAACCTGTTGGCGGTGCGCAGGATACTGCACCTCGACGTTCGCCGACACTTCTGCCAGCGCGGCTTTCGTCAGCGTCCGTGTCGCCCGCAAGGAGTGGGCCAAGGGATGGAGTTGCCCCGGTTTCGTGGACGGTTATGGATTTGGGCGAGCGGGGGGTAGCTGGCTCCGTTCGTAGTTGACGGGTGACAGATATCCGATGGCGGAGTGGCGCCGTCGCGGATTGTACCAGCCCTCGATGAACTCGAAGACGGCCATCCGCGCTTCGGCGTGAGACCGGAACCTCCGGCGCTCGAGCAGTTCGCATTCGAGGGTCGCGAAGAAGCTTTCGCACATGGCGTTGTCGTAGCAATCCCCGACCGATCCGGTGGAGGGGCGCACGCCGGCGTCCCGGCATCGCTTGCCGAAGGCGAGCGAGGTGTACTGCGATCCCTGGTCGCTATGGTGGATCACGCCGTCGGGCCGACGCTGCCAGAGCGCCATGTCGAGGGCATCGAGCACGAGCTGTGTGCGCAGGTGGTTGGCCATGGACCAGCCCACCACGCGGCGGCTGAAGGCATCCAGCACGACGGCGAGGTACAGGAACCCGGCCCAGGTGGGGATGTAGGTGATGTCCGCGACCCAGAGCCGATCGGGTGCGTCGGCGGTGAAGTCGCGCTCGACCAGATCCGGCACCGCCCGGGCACGCGCATCCCGTACCGTCGTCCGTGTCCCCTTGCGCCGACTGATGCCCCTCAAGCCGGCACGGCGCATCAATCTGGCGATCCGCTTGCGGCCCACAGCGTGGCCTTGAGCGACGAGTTCGGCATGGATGCGGGGGGCGCCGTAGGTCCCGCGCGAGGTGCGGTGGATGTCACGGATGCGATCGAGCATTGCTCCGTCGCTCTCGGCGCGGGCCGACGGCGCCCGGCCTTGCCACGCGTAGTACCCGCTGGCGGAGACCCCCAGCAGCCGGCACATCGTGGCGACAGGATAGAAGGCCCGGTTGGCTCTCACGAACTCGAAGACCCGGACGGGATCGAGCCGGTCTCCCGAGCAAACCAGGCCGCGGCTTTTGCCAGTATCTCGCGCTCCTGGCGCAGCCGGCGGTTCTCACGCCTGAGCCGTCGCAGCTCCTCGCGCTCGGCACTGGTCAAGCCGTCATGTGAGCGGCCCTCGTCCCGGTCGGCCTGGCCGACCCAGTTACGGATCGACTGAGCGGAAGGCTCGAACTCCCGAGCCAGCTCCTCCGGCGAGCGGCCCGATCGAACCAGCTCGACCATCTGCTCCCGGAAACCGGATGAATAGGGTGGACGTGTCATCGGCATCGTGGACTCCTTTCTCCCAACTGATCAGGTGTCCACCGAAACGGGGCAAGTCCAGATTATCGCGCCGACATAGGTTATCGCGCCGATCGGCGTCATTCCACCGTGCCGAACAACAGCTTGGCCGCTCGGCTAGCCTTCGCTCCCCTTGGCGCCATTGGGCGGCTTGGCCGCGAAGGCCTGTCGCACGAGCTCCATCGCGTAAGGAACTGGGCGAGGGCGTTATAGCTGCTGGGGACCGTCAGCTGGACGTCGCCGTTGCCCCAGAGCCCGAGATGGGTGACGCTCGGCGGCAAGCCCGCGCGGGTCGGAGATTTCGTCGAAGCGCATGTTGAGCTGAGCAGGAGCCGGCGCTTCTGCGGCACGACGTCTGTGAAGTTCGTGCGCGTCTTGTAGCGACGTAGTGCCTCGTGAACTCTTCGCGGACCTCCGGCGCCAGCGCGAGGATCTCCTGCCTGACTGCCTCGAGAGGTCGTGCATCGGGCGCGCCGGACGCAGATGCGGGTGATGCTCGATGGTGTAACGGCCGCCGCCGGCGCGCGGGGTTCTGG